AAGAAAGAAAGAAAGAAAGAAAGAAAGAAAGAAAGAAAGAAAGAAAGAAAGAAAGAAAGAAAGAAAGAAAGAAAGAAAGAAAGAGAAAGAAAGGAAGAAAGGAAGAAAGAAAGAAAGTTTCAGTTTGGAAGCTGTAGCACAGCCCAATGAGTCACACAGTATATGTCTTAGTCCATACATCTTTACTTGTAGGTGTTCTTTGCAATGAATCCTTAGTTTGACTCAAGGCCTCTGGCTTCTGGTACTCTATTGACAGTGGGCCCTCAGTGGGACTCCTCCTGGACATCGTGTTGTCCCATGTCATGGGTATCCTGTAGCTTTAGGTCTGTAGATCTGGCCCATTTACATACTCCAACAGTTCATAGATGAGGTGACTGGACCTGAGAGCAGGAGAATGGCACCTGCCCCCTCCGTCATATGCCATGTGTTGGCATGGTTAGGGGTAAGATGCTGTCCACCCCATCCTACCCCTTGCCAAATGCAACAGGTGGGGTAGCTGGCCTTGGGGGCAAAAGAACAGAAGATCTAGCCGTATCCTTCAGCAACTGCAGCAATTAGGAGAGCAGGCCATATACCTCATCTGGACAAAACTGTAGAGCTGGCTGTTGTGGTTTGAGTGCTGGAGAGCATGACCCGAGGGATTTGAGAGCAGGAGAACTGGCCCTGCTCCTTGCTGCCTGCTGCACTAGGTGAGCTAGCCAGGGCGGTAGGCGAGAGTTTGCCAAGGTAGTGATGATGAGGGAAAAGTGGAAGGCTGACCAACTCACATACCACCCAGGCCCAGAACCAGGATTCAGTGTATCTTGACACCATTACTACTTCATCTTGTATAACCCCCTACTCTGACATATGTAGTGTTTGCTGTTTCTGACCATTACAATTAAAATATGGCCCTATTTAATTTCATCAGTATAGCTGAAACTTTTCAAGCGAGTTCTGCTGGGGATGCTATGAATGTGTTGCTCTGACTGATTGATAAATAAAACACTGATTGGCCTGTAGTCAGGCAGGAAGTATAATGTAGGTGGGATAAGGAGAGAGGAGAATTCTGGGAAGTGGAAGGCTGAGTGAGGAGATGCTGTCAGCTGCCATGAGGAACAGGATGTAAAGTACTGGTAAGCCACGAGCTACGTGGCAAGGTATAGATTTATAGAAATGGGTTAATTTAAGATGTAAGATCTAGCTAGCAAGAAGCCTGAGCCATTAGGCCAAACAGTTTTAATTAATATAAGCTTCTGAGTGATTATTTTATAAGAGAGCTAACAGACTGCAGGGGCTTGGCAGGACCTGGAGAGAAACTCCAGTTACAAAGTTCTTATTGAGCAAACAAATAAGCAAGTTATATTGTTTCAAAACATAAACCACTACCTTTATGTCTATAGAAAACCTCACCCTCTTCCTTTCCATTAACTAAACAAAGTACATGTGTTCATGTGTTGGGAGGAGATCAGGGTTTCTCCTATAGGGCTTTAATATTGTTTTTTTCAAGTGATTAATTAATTTTGGGGGAATTATATATATATATATTTATATATAAATTTTATAAAATAAACACACAGACTCTTACATTATTTAAACTGCTTGGCCATTAGCTCAGGCCTATCATTATCTAGCTCTCACTCTTATATTCAGCCCATTTCTATTAATCTATACTTTGCCACGTGGCTCGTGGCTTACTGGTACCTTACATCTTGCTTGTCCTGGCGGCGGCTCCAGGCAGTCTCTCCTCTCCTTCCTCCTTCCTCAATTTTCCTCTCTGTTAGTCCTGCCTATGCTTCCTGTCTGGCTATTGGCCAATCATATTTATTTACACATAGCAATATCCACAGCATTATATATTTGTGATATATATATATGTTATTTCAACACAAGGGTTAAAGGAAGAAAGATGGTCAAAGGAAAAACATACCTGAGCATGACTGATGGTTCTCAAGTAATTCCTTCTGCCTTGTGTTTAAATACTATTTCAGTATAACAAAAGATCAATTTAATGCCACATTTATAATCCCTATCACATGGTTCTCTTTATAGTCTAAAGAAATCACAAACTTAGAGACAAACTTAAAGCCAAGTTCTTTGCTTCTTTTCTCATGGTGGCTCATCAGCAAGTTAAATTTTCTTTGCTACAGATTGTACATTTGTAGCTTGGAAATAATTACCTTACCTAAAGGGCCTTTCTAAGGATTGAAGTATAAAATACATTATAAGTTCTTACTCTATTATTACTCTATTAACACAAAAGACGTGCCCCCAAAATATTACCTATATTTTACAATTATTTAGATTTATAAGGGGAAGTCAGTGTTTTCAGACTAGAGTATTAAATATGTTTTTACTTCTTCTAATTTCCTAGATGGCATTATATGACATAAAAAAGTGATATCTGGAGAGCTAACCTGCATTAAACAGTGGGCATTGATCTTGTCCATTTAATTCTCCAAATAACAACCATTCCATAAAAAAGACATTTGCTTTGAATGTCTTTTTTAATGAAATCTTCAGAACATGGACCTGTCTTGATCTCTATATTCTTAAGGGACAAGAATTGAAGTTGGTAGAGGAATGGCATTCCCAAGATAGCACACAGACAGGAAAGACTGAGATATGGCACTTTCCATCTACTGAATTGTGTGAACTTTTACTTAGAAAAAGTTACGAGTTTAGGGCAGTAATTATGACTCATGTGACTTTCCTTCCTATTTCTGCCTATCATACTTTTCCACAGTTTCATATGAGTTATGTCAGTAGCCTTCAAAATGTGCACTCTACCAGCCAGCATCATCAACATCATCACCTGTTGGAATCAAAGTCTTAAGCCTTTTCAAGGTACAGAGCATCCTAGCATCTAATGGTGGATCTCAGCAATGTAAATATTTCACAAGATCTTCAGGTGATTCTACATGCTGAAGTTCAAAGACTTCTTAAAGAGTCATTCCCTGGGCCTGGGGTTATATCGTAATGATTATGTAGTAGCATGCAATGAAACCTGGGTTTGAACTCAAAAACTGGAAATAAAAACAATCAAAATTATTTGAAAGAAACTAACTCATCTTATACTACCAATCATCAGTTGCTGACAGCCCTATACATATGAATGCACCAGAAACACGAAATAAACTTAAACTCAGTCGCTTTAAAAGATAAATAAGCCTATGAAGTTAGGAGGTAAAAGTAGTAGGGAGAGGTGTGGGAGAGGTTGGAGAGAAGGGAATGTGGATGGATTTGATAAAAACTAGGAAAATATTTAATGTACTTCATTTCCATTGCCATCTAGAATTATTTTAGGTTATTGGGGGGCATATAACATATGTTTATCTTGACAATACACAGAGACAGTAGGATGATAATCTGAAATAAATACATATCTTTACTCTTTTCAACT